ATTTAATTCATTATTCATACATTAAATTTAATTTTTCGTGCTGATTTTGACATTTCTTTCATCTCTTGCTCTACATTAACTGGTTCTTCTCTATAAATACTTAATAAAACAATTATCAGATTTTCGTAAGGGGGGCCCGGGCCCCCTATGCCCCCCCCCCCCTGGCTACGCCCCTGGGTGTGTGATACATGGAATCAGACGCGTAGCCAGGTGGATCTTGTCCCCCTCTTAAGCGTTTTAGGCCATGCTCTCGCTGCGGTTCAAAACGTTTAAAGGGGAGACAAAACTCTTTTTAAGACGTTGAAGATATTTTGTCATTGTTTTGAATGCAAATAACTGCGAAACAACTTCACTGCGTTCGATTTTGATTCCATTTCTATATTTTGCATATTTTTAAGAAGTTGTTGACAAAAATCTTTAAAAACAATTGCAAAAGCCATTAAATGTTTACAATTCTAAGCTTTTAATATCAACTGTCGTAAATTTCCAACTTCAAACTCTAAACACTAAACGTCATTCAAACCAGACAAATCACATCCAACAACTCAATTCAACTGCATTCTCGTTTAAAATTCACCGCGAACGAGTTAAGCGCTTACAAATTAATTTATGCGATTTAACAATTTTACTATGCTCACGGCAAGTAATGTATATTATAGATACAATATAATAGATGAAATTTGTTGAAGGAGCGAAATGAAAAATTAACAACAATTATTTTTCATTTCCTTTCGCTCGTGTTGAAATGAGCGAGAACATAGCAAATGAATAAAAAATAATTCTTTTTGTTCTTCACTTTTACTCCATTTTTCGTGTAAGCACATAAATTGACAGAATGCAATTTCAATTACTTAACAGCTTCTTTTACTAGCTACTAGCTACTGCACTACATGTATGTGTTCAAGAAAGAATAAAAAATTACTGAATGAATTGCTATTTTATGGAGCAATTAAGATAAAGTGCTCATAAGATGAGATGAGAACAAAAGGCAAAAAGAGCTTCTTCACATCATCCCAAATGGCACTTTCAATCTCATCTTTTTTCATGAAATTAATGTTACATGACATGATGGGAAAAGAATTACGTGCTTAAATGACAAAATGTGTACGAAAAAGTAAATTTCTCTCATTTGTTTTGTAGTTTTCATCATGTCACGTTTAATTTTCATGCATTCAATCATGTACAGATGCATTTTAATTAAATTGAAAGATAGGCAAATATTGAAGTTCAATTTGAATGTAAATTGAACTTTTTTTTCACATATTTTAATTAAGTCGTTCACTTATGACGTCCATTGGGAGGGGGGGGGGGGGGGGGGTCAGCAAGAAAAGAACAATAGAAATTCCTGGAAATCCATTGTTCTTTTTTGAAAAATTACCGTTAATTTCAGACGTCATAAGTGAACGAAAGAGTTTTTAATGAAGAATTATTTTGAATATGTTTGTGAGTTTTTTGGATGTGTTGTTGATATGAGCTTTATATGTTGGTGTTCAGATCTTGGGTTTATAAAGGAGTTTTGAGGAAGGTTGTATCATCCTTATTTTAAATGTTTCATTGATTTTGAAAATATAGTCCATACGTTTCATGTCAATTATGGACTTTTACGCATGTAAGCAATTTTATTCAATTAAATCTAAATTTTCATTCATCAATATTGAACCTTCAACTATCAGAATTGAAAACATTTTTCACTAGAAATAGAAAAAGAAGCGACAAAAAGCAAGTTAAGAAAAACATGGTAAAAATACGAGAAGTTTAAATAGAAATTTTTTTTAACTCTGAAATTTTAGTAAATTAACGTCATATCGACCTCCTATAAAATGATTGAGAGAGATCAATTTCTGGTGGGAATCAAACCCATTTCCTAACAAAAGAAAGTTGAAGGTATCCAGTCTGCTGCCTAACCATTCTACCATAAAGTTTTAACTCACGCTCTGACTGATTCGCCAAAATATGGCTTGATACCCCAGATTCAACTCTGCTCCAACATCAAATTTATGAAGAAGGAATTTATCTTTGTTGTGTTGAATTTTAATTGAGCTACCAAAAATAACAATCAGCGTAAAACGATGTTTTAATTTTAGAACTGAAGAATTCTCAAAAATCTTCTATTGAAGTTTCAACTTTAAGAGCAAAAGCAAGAAAAGTCATTTTGAAAACTTCGGGAAATTCCTTCAAAAGTCTTCTCAAGTATCAATGCAAAATTCCTAGAATTCTAAGCGTAAATCACAACTTTCACAAATTTATTTTTGCGTTGATTCTCCGAAACTGTCATAATTAGGAATCTAGTTTGAAATGTCACATTCTCAGAAAAAGGCACGCTCATTGAATTATATAATTGGTTCGAATTGAGAATCATGAAACCTATTTTCTGCTGTAGGTAGCTCAAATTTCGATCGAATTCGTTGAACAAATATTTTTTAAAGCCAGACAACCCACACTCTCCAAAATTGTTATCCATGCCATATCCGACCACCAGACACTCTCAAAAATTTCCATCAAATTTTACATCACTTGACAAAATTCCATTAATTTTCCTTCCAAAAACTTCCTGAACATAAAAAAAATTATGATCGGTTTTCATAAAAAAAAAACTTTAACCATAAAAAATTTTTTAAAATCACTTCAGTTGCTGCCAACGCGGACACATTTGTCATTTTTTCAATTCAACATTTTTTTTTTCCACCGAATGAGAATATTTTTCATCTCCAGTTTATTCATTGCACTCGTCTGTAGTCGTCTGCAGGAAAAGTTTTTCTAGTGTTATCATTTTTCAAAAACATGTTTTATGGCTTCGCGTGTTTTATGCTGTAAAAGTGAGAGGAATCCTTTTAAATTTTATGAATGAAAAAATATTGGAAAAATTTCCTGAATTTTTTAAAACATTCTTGCTAGTTGAACATTTTGTAAGCTGATGCTTTTGAGTTGAGGATGCTGGGAAGTAAGGGTTGGGAGCTATGGCTATGATTTATATTGTAGCTGAATTTTAAAGGACTTGGAAGCTAGTGATTTCTTAATTTCTCCACTTTTGATTATTTTATTATTTTAAAAATTATTAATTCTTCTTTAGACTGTCCAAGAATCCAATCCTAATCCTCACATCACTCAAGCTCCTCCGCAATATAAAATCGCAACAGCAGTTCCATCAGATTCACTGAAATAAAGGAAAGTCTCTCGAGCATAAACTTTAATATTAAAAAATATCCATCCATTGATCAACATTGATATTCAATTTGTGTCTCACTTCCTTCTTCCCCTTTTTTTATATCCACTCGCCATATGGCGACATCCAAAAAGAGAGGAAAAAAAAAATTCAGAAAAAATATCCAAGCATGTAAAAGAAGATATGTAAATGGATGAATTCATACTGCCCTTGTATAAGTGCTTGAAATTCAACAGCGGTGACACGATGTGATTTAACTTTTGGGAAGAAAAGTCATAAATTTTTGCTTCAAGAAAAAGTTTTTTTATGAATATGAAATTTGCTGCACGAAAGAATGTCTTCAAGGAAGCCACAAAATATTCTAATTATATCGTTTAGAATCTTTTTCTTTTTTGCTGATTATTTTATAAAAGAAGTAGAAAATGGGATGAAAAATGAGAAAAGAGATGGATTTGGTTAAGGGGTCGTTCACTTATGACGTCCATCAAAAACCTGATTTTTAGACCCCCCCTCCCCCCCTCTGTCACAAAAATTCTAAAGAAAAAAATTTCCATTGTTTGAACTGTCACAAAATCCTAGACCCCCCTCCTCCCCATAAATGTCAGACGTCATTAGTGAACGCCCCCCAAAAGGCATCGTTCACAAATGATGTTTAATCGTTGATCTAATACAGCTTAATGAAGTTCCATTTGCAACAGTCCGGTATCTCTTAGTCTAGATTAAGGATATCATTTATGGACGACTCACAAAAAGGAATTTGATATTCTTTCTGGAATATCACTAAGATTTCGCTTTACTTTCCACTAAATGTTTCTTTGTAATTAAATCCATAGAAATTTTCATTATAAACAATAGCTTGAATCCTCAGAACTTCCTAAATATTCTAAAACGATGACGCAACAGAAGACGTTCTAATTTTATATTAAAATATACACGAGCATACTCAATTTTTCATTCAGTCACTCAAAAACAAAGTCTGAAATTTCATCTACAGCTACATTTTTTCACTTCCACCCACTCCACCTTCTTGACAAATTTATTTCCATAATTCGTCAAAAGTTTCGTCTAACGTCTTCATGCATATTCAACAATCTTTACAAGTGGTATTATCAACATTAATGTCCATCATTCAAGCGACAGAATATTATGATTATTTTTAAGTTCTCTTGGCAATAAAGGTAGGACTCACAGTCGGTGAGTTGTTGGGAAATAGAACGGAAGGTAGCGGAGGCAAATAATTTTTTTCAATTATGAAAAGCCTCGCGTTTAATTTCCCTAATGCTATGGTATTATTAACAGTCAGGCGTTGAGCACATCGAGTGATTTGGAAGTGGGGGAACGTTGGGGATGTGTAGGAATTGATGAGCTTTTTGGGAATATTAATATTTTTATGGACTAAATGAAATTTTTCCTTAAATCACCAATCAAACTAGGAAAAAATGTTCTAACCTTGAAGGTCATAACAAGAGCTATTAAGCAATACAATCTAATTTTCAAAAGTACAAGTTTCATTTGACATGAGATCTACACAAGAATCAACCAGCTTCCATCCCTTTCCATCCTGTCCCTCACGAACATCGCCATCATCATCCTCATTATTGAAATTAGAAGCAAGAAAAACAAGTCAAAGAAGAAATTTTCAATTTCCGCTCTCGCATTGCTCCATCCTCTATATTTATCGTACCTCACCAACTTTCATGGTTGTGTAGCATTGCGTTAAAGAACAAATTGATGAAAATGCTAAGTGAATTCTGAATAATTAATTAGAAACGATAAAAATTTATTAAAATTCCTGCATAATTAATGAAATATTTTTTTTTATCTTTTGTTCTTTCAGGATTTTTGTGTCTTTTGGACTTGTAGCTGCTGATGATGAATTATTATTGATATTTTAATAGAATCAAATAATTATTTTTTGGTGCTTTATGGAAAAAGAAAACAAATTATTATTAAAAATGACGTCACTTAAAAAACTTGCGGTGCTGCTGCTTCTTGCCACTGCTGTAAACTCATCAAAACTCCTGAGATGTCCGACCAGTGACACCAAATGTTATTGCAGTGAATTTGGCGAGCTTGAAATTCAATGTCCAAAATTTGATCCACGAATCACTGTAAGAATTCAGCCAAATAATTTCTTAAACTTTGATTGCGACAACAGTACAGACAGTGATTATGACTTGGTGCCAGAATATAATTTGCCAGAGGCACAGATGATTAAGATCACGAAATGTCCATTGCCACATGGAAGGTCACTTTCAACATACTTTAAGAATATTCATATTGACAAAATTTTATGGCTTCAAATATTTAGTGGTGGTGTCAATAGTCGTCATCCATTGGAAAGTTCGCATTTAAAAGGATTTGAAGACATCACGAGATTCCTTATTAGTGGTAATGAAAATGAGTTCCGTGACCTGCCATCAGACTTGTTTACAAGCATGCAAAAACTTACATGGATCACAATGAGAGTTGGAAATATCCAATTGCCAGTTGATTTATTTGCGCCACTTGCGAATCTCGAGTTTCTTGAATTGGGACATAATAAGATGACAACTTTAGAGCCTGGATTGCTGAGAAAAAATAATAAATTACAGCAATTGAATTTATGGGGAAATAATCTTCGAAATCTCAACAAGGACGCATTTAATGGACTTGAAAATCTTAGAGAATTAGATTTAAGCACTAATGGAATGGAATCTCTTGAGCCAGATCTATTTATTTATCTTCCGAATCTCACTCACCTTAATTTAGGTGGAAATAATTTTGCATCATTGCCCGAAGGTCTTTTTGCAAACAATCGAAAATTAACAATTTTAAAGATGCTCGAAAATCGCGTTCCTATGGATACTTTACCGGACGGATTTCTCGCAAACCAAACAATGCTCGTTGATGTTTTTATTAAATGTGAATTGAGAAAGATTCCCGAGGATATTTTTGAAGAATCAATTAACATTGCTAGTATTAAACTTGATGGAAATCAACTGGAAGTTCTACCAAAATATTTATTTAAGGATCAAAGGCAATTAAGCACACTCGATTTGAGTGACAACTACTTAACAGATTTGCCCGAAGAGCTTTTTGAAGGAACTCCAGAGCTGAAGAAATTGGATTTATCATACAATCGTATTGAGGATATTCCTGAGTAAGTTTTTTTTTGCTTATTGATTTATAGAGCTAATCGCTAGGAACCTAACTTGAGGAACCTTTTGAATAATAATCTTGAATGACTAAACTAATCAAATAATTTTATTTCACAGAAAACTGTTTCAACCATTGACTAAACTTAGAGAACTCCAAATCAACAACAACTACCTAGTAAGTTTTCAACCAAAGGTTTTCCAAGGTATTTTATCAGTCAGAGTCATCAACTTAGCAAACAACCGATTGACATTCGAAAATGTAATTGTCTCAATTGATGACCATAATAATACCGAATATTCAGTATATCCAGTAGGATCACGTTTCCAACGACTTGAAAATCTCGAAAATTTGAATCTCAGAAATAATTCAATCAGAACTATATTTGAGGACTTTACATTGACAAACTTGAAGAAATTGGATTTAAGTTACAATAATATTTCAATTTTGTCAAAAGATAACTTGCAATTTACCTCGAGACAGGAATTAGAGATTGATTTAAGACATAATAATATTGAAACTGTCAACTTTAATAATTTTATCTCTGAAGACAGTCCATCGAACATGGTGGTATATTTGGAAAATAATCCAATAATCTGTAACTGTCAAATCCTCGATTTTGTCAAATACATCAAAAAACCAGAACTCATAAAGAAGACAGGCATAACAATGGAACTTGGAGATTTGAATTGTACTAAGCCTGAGAAATTGCGTGGACGAAGCGTAACAGATGTTAAGCCTTTAGAGCTTACATGTCCATTTGATGATCCATCAAGTAATTTGGAAAAACGATGCCCAGAATCATGCAGCTCATGTGATGTCCGACTAGAAGATAGAACATTGCTTATGGATTGTTATGGAAATTTAAGTTTATCATCACTTCCAAATGCTGCAAACAGCAGTCTTCATAATGTTGAATTAAGAATTGAAGGACAAGGCTTGACCGAATTCACAAGCAGCTCAACAATTGGATATAGACAAATCTCAAAACTATTTTTAGGTGACAATGAGATCAAAAATATTGGTGAATTGCCACCGAAACTAGTGGAACTTGAACTTCAGAACAATCAAATTGAAGTCCTTAATGACACAACAATCATGTCACTCAATTATTCTACCACACTCAAGTCAATGAAGCTTAGTGGAAATCCATGGCGTTGTGACTGCTCAAATCTTGCATTTATTAATTTTGTACAAAAATCCTACACGAGAATCGTCGACTACAGTGAAATGAAATGTTCGAATGGAGAATTTGTCAACACTTTAACAGCCAGCGGCTTATGTTCCGAGGATAATTTCATTGTCGTTCTAGCATGCATAATCCTAGCTGTATTTAGTATAGTTGTCGGAACTTGTGCTGCTCTTTACTATAAATACCAAAAACAAATTAAGATGTGGCTTTACTCACATAATCTCTTTTTGTGGTTTGTTACGGAGGAGGAGATGGACAAAGACAAGTCATACGATGCATTCGTTTCATATGCTCATCAAGATGCAGATTTTGTCACTGATCATTTAGTGCCGCAACTTGAGAAATGTGTGGTTCCATATAAACTATGTTTCCATGAACGTGATTTCTTGCCAGGATTAGAAATTAGCAGTAAGTATTTAAAACCACATGACACCTCATATCCTTTACTAACCCCAATATTCTTACTTTACTCTCAATTCACAGCTCAAATCTCCAACTCAATCAACGAATCGAAACGAACAATTGTAATCATGTCACCACATTATCTGAACTCAAATTGGGGACAATGGGAATTCCGCGTTGCACAATCACAAGCAGCAACTGAGAAGCGCTCTCGTATAATTGTAATTCTGTATGGAGACATTGGTGACATAAACAAATTGGAGCCAGACATACGAGATTACTTGAAATTGAACACTTATGTGAAATGGGGTGATAAATGGTTCTGGGAAAAGTTGCGCTATGCAATGCCACATGTTAAAGGTCAAGGTCCATTAGATAAATCAAAAGGTTTAGTTAAGACAGCAATAAAAAGTTCTGTTGATGATAAATTGGAGCTCATTAAACCCATTTCTGTAACACCACCGCAATTGACAACACCGCCTGCTGAACAGATTGCAAATCCCTTAATTGCAAAACTTAATGCGAAGAATGCTGCAAAAAATCATAATGGTATAAATGGACACAACAATGGTCACATTAATGGAGCTTACGTCATCAACACAAGTTCACGACAAAGCGATGTCTGATATAAGAGATTCATTTAGTTGCCTTAAGAATTATTTTGAATAGTTTATGTTTCTTTAAATTAGGATTTAATTAGACTATGAATTTTATTTAGATTTTTGTCCTTAATGAAATTTGCTAGTTTCTTTGAAAATCTATTGGCCATTACAGAGGATTTGAAATGACAATTTTGGGGATGTAAGAGTGTAGCTTATTTTTAATCTGAGGATAATATCGGGATTTAACTGTAATGGTCAGAGCTTTGGATGGTTATGGATATTTAAGTGACATTCTTAAGATTTATTTTGCATATTAGGATGAAAATTGGGGGTTACATAAAGGTAGGAAGTAGAGGTGCAGACGGTTTGAATTCAACCCGAGCCGACTTTTAGAGGAAAATTATTATGAAGCCCTCACAAATCAGAATCCTTGCCTAAACCCCAAACAAGCCATCCAGCAACATTTCATTCTAATGTCACTCAGATCCAAATGATTGTCCATCTATGATTGTCAACTATCAAAATTAAATAGCAATAAGAAGCTAAAATTGAAAGATCTTGAAAATTTAAATAAGAAGTTTTTAAATTTAGGTGATTCTATGTTGTACCCTAAATTAACCTTGCCTTAACCTTTGAAATTTAATTTTTTTTTTCGTTGTTTGCCTAATTTACTTTTGATTCTTAAAATTTCTATAATTTATGTTTATTTACTTAACCTTACCCTTATCCACAAAGATCTGGATCTATAATTGATATTCTTTGTACTATTAAACACAGATCTAGCTAGTTGTGGATAAGGACTCTCTATGTCTATTCACAAAAACACACACACTCTCTTTTTACGTATGAAACTCACAAATACACAATCTTGACTATAAATCAAGGGTTTGGAACTGAATAATTACATTTTGATCATTATTTGATTAATTTTGATCATTTTTGATCATTTTTGATCATTTTTGATCATTTTTGATAATTTTTGATCATTTTTGATTAATTTTTGATAATTTTTGATAATTTTTGATCATTTTTGATAATTTTTTTGATCATTTCATCAGTACCACACCCTTGCTATAAATATTATTATTATAAATTATATAAATATTATTACTTAATTAAGGAATGAGAAAAAAATAATTAATTAAATGTGTATAAAAAATTTATTGAATCTCGTAAAAAAATTCTCATTGGAAGTCTTGTAAAGAAACAAAATACGAGGAAGAAAATTAAACAAAAAATATTATAATAAACTAGCTATTAAGGATGAAAAAATAGATGAAAATTATAAAGGTTAAAAAATATTTTTTTGAATTAGAAAATAAAGGAAAAATTTATAAATTTTTAAGTGAGATTTTCATGAAGTTCATAGGATAAAGCCTAAGTCATCTCAAACGGCTCATTATGGCAATGATAAACCTTTTTTCACCTATGTTTGGTGTCAAATGATTGTCATTGCTTTAAAGAGCTCTTGAGAGACACAATAAGGAAATGGTGGAAGCTCCTAGCTACCCGCCCCAATATAATAATATAATGTGTGAAGGGCCCAGCCTTTCAGCTGGAGGCACTGCGATTCAAATTAGAACAGAATCTTTTGTACCACACCCTTTAGACCTACAGTTTATAGTGGGATCGGAACCCACTTGCAAGCTCTGTACATTGATACCGTAAGGAAGTCATCCAGATGCTAGTATATCCTTGTATACCTAGCAAAGGAGGCAGATTCTGTGCCAAAGACCTCAAAACTACACCCAACACACGAACCGAGCTTCGTAACTAGAACGGTGAAATGGAAAAAGAGCTTCGAAAATTAGACATGGCCTGGGATTGAACCCAGGACCTTTGGCACGTAAGGCCAACGCTCTACCATTTAGGTCACTGATGCCATTTCACCGCCCCAACATCCATAAACTTTATCAAAAACAATCCATATTTTTCGATTCAAAATGAAATCAATTAAAAGTAATAAAATTTTCATTTATCATCAAAGCATTTAGTCTCTCATCATTAGCGATGAAACTCATGAAAAAATCACTCAAAAGAATTTATAGCAAATTGCCCTGAAAAAAGCTCTAATGAACATAAAAAGCAAGATGATGAAAATGATAAAAAAAAGAAAATAATCTTAAGTACTGAAAATGTCTTTTTTATTTTTCAATTTTTAATTAAAAATTGTGATATATCAACGGATATGTAAAAGAAAATGAGAAACGAGAAAGATGAAAATGAGAATTATGAATAAAATGTAATTAGGAAATGAAAAAAGAAAATTTTTTTTGTCTAATTAATTTCATTTTTGTGCCTTTTTAATCTTTTTTTCCATAGGCAAATTCTTGTCTCCCCCTTTTTACAGCTTCCTTCGTTGTCGCTTTTTAGATGAATGGTGACATTTTTTGGCTTTAAAATTGCTATTCAGCTCGTTATTTAAAGTAAAATTAGAAATTGCTTTTATCTTTTATAACATGGTAAGTGCTCCATTATTGAAGAGATGCTTGTGATGATGCTGGCATTGAAGATTTTTTTATAAATGGCAAAAGCGAGTTGAATTTTCAGGTACAAGTGACATAGCAAAAGGGTGTTTTGCGACCAGTTGGCTTGATCCTATTTCACGAAAACGTTTTTGAACCACAGTCAGCACTAAGGATAAACTATATAACACTTCGTAATCTTCTACGATTTCTCCAAAAACTTCAAAAGTTATAAATTTAGTCCACGGGCTGTTATGTTCTTTTCTACACATCTATATCCTTATTGTTTGCAAAATCTGTTTCTGTTATGAAGGGTTTGAATCTAATTAAATGAATTTTGATCATTTCTGATCATTTTTATCAGTTATACTCTTAAATGTTACTCAAAGTAGCTAGGCACAAGCTAGACTATCAAAAGGAACTAGCATATTTTGTGCAACTCTGAACTCATTGCATGCCTAGTTGTTAAACCTAATATAGCTCTTCATTGCATAGATTTTGATGATATTTGGCTATAACGAATGGCACGAAGTCGGTTAATGAATCAGAAATCTGGCAAATAGTCAGTATGACTCTGGCATGGAGCTAGCTTCGATTTAAATCCAGAGCCATCACAGCTTGGTGTCAGATTTCTATTCGATTAACCGACTTGTGCTATTCGGGTGTACAAAGCACTAACTAGCATTCAAATTCAAGTCTTCCAGTCACCTTCGCATCAGTAAACCCAACCTATCCGTAGCTGACAATAAAAATCTCAAAACTTATATTCCATATTTTTCGACGAAAACACTCTCAATCCAACCACAAAATCACATCTTATTTGCGACGAAAAGAGCATCAGTTCCAACAACAAACAAGCAAGAGTTCATAAAGTTGTGCTTAAAATGCGAGTAAATAAAATGAAAAAGGATGAAAAAAAAACCTCAACTCAGTAATTTCAAATTAATTCAATTTATTTAAATTTTATAAAGTGCTGCATAAAAACATTCACAGGCAGTCTTTATATAGCAGTCACAAGACTGAAGTAGTAAAATGAAATGAAAAGCAACAAAAACAAAATTTAAATGTTAATGAAAATGAATGCAAAACGAAACTTTCTTCATTAAGGAAAAAAAAGCAGCTCGAAAGAAATTAAAATGTGATGCAATCACTTCCAACAACTCAAAGTAAAATTCCTCTTCCACCGCTGTTCTGCAACACTTTTTAATTAAGTTTTCTTTCTGGTTCATGTAAAATCTCATTAAGCTACAAGTTTTTCTTCGTCGTTTTCTTGTTTTGTATATGAAATAAAAAGTGGTGAAAAGCTGTACAGGAAGGAAGAAATTATGAAGAAATAAAGTTTCTCGATCAAATAAAAAAAATGTCGACGAGATTTTTTTTGTATGAGTCTTGATGATGAAGTTTTTTAGTGACATTTTCATTAAGATGAAAACATTGGATTTGTTGGAAGTTGGATAAAATTGCTTATTACAAAATAGTTGCAGTATAATTTTTTGTAGCGTGCATTAAAACGGTGCACAGTGTATAATTGCGCAGCAAATGGTGCATTAGGGAAGTGCAAAGTATATACCACATTAAAGGAGTGCGCATTATATGGCGCATTAAAGTAGTGCGCAGTATAAAACATACTAAAGTTTAGTAAAGTTTCTGGAAGAATAATGCAGCTAATGTTATACAATATTAGATAAAATTCGTTTAATATTTGAATAAATGTTTTATTTCAAATTTTATCTCTAATGTATTCGTATCATGATAAGAAATACAACTTATAAGATTGACTATTTATTTCACAAGACATCTTTGTCATTATTTAACCTCTGAAATTAGGAACATTTGGAACAGTCAAAAATGAACCTTGTCCAATGCTTAAATCAACCAATGCTTGATTCATCATGCTACTTAAAATATTGATTATTATCTTAACGCAACTGAATGGATATGGAACTGCAATTGTATTTCCTTTCAGATACGGAATAATGCTATTTGGATTTGCATTAAGAGCTGCAGCCACATAATTTCCAAGGAGCTCGGGCAAGCATGTTAGGATTGATGCAAATGAGTCAGCAAACAAATTATCAACGTTAATAGCTGCAAATTCAGTCATTGTGCCTGAAAATACATAATAAGACAAGACGATGAGTAAAGTTGGCTGTTAATAAGAAAAAAATCATTGTACTCACTTCCGACCAAAGTTCCTCTAACATTGACTAAATCGACTAAAATGCGAACATAAGGTGTGAGAGCTTGATAAGTGGCATTGCAGTTGGATGTGTCACCTAGAAATGAATTAGAATTTAGGCACTTGATCGAGCAAAAATTAATATGCTTATGAACTTACTTGTTGATGCTACTACAAAGTCTCTCAATCCTGGAATGACATGTTCAGTCATGGTTTGAAGCTGTGTACGGATAGCAAGGAGATCGTTGGCAATGCAATCAAGTGGAGCTGGGAATGGTGGAAGTGATGTTCCATTGATGATCTCAAACACAACTTCGGAATCGACACCTGAGAACTGACTTGTTGCGTTAGCAACGAGAAGCACTAATGTGTCTAACTCGCAGATAAAGTCAAGAACAAAGACTGGTGTCAGGATTGGATAATGAATTGAGTTGTCTGTAAAGAAGAAAATATAATTATTGATCATCTTGGGAACTTCAAATTTGTGTGACTTACTAGTTGCAAAGTTAACCAGTTCGTTGACATAGTTGTACCAAATGTTAGCGAAAACTCTGAATTGTGTAAAGAACGGTTCACATGATGGTGGTGGACTGGATATGACAACATTCGAGTTGAATTGATTGACTGCTGCATTTGCAAGGTTTTGAAGAGAAGTGACTGCGCCAGCAACACAACTTAATGGAGGTGGTACTGTTATTGATTGATCTGCTATGTATGCATTAATAATGGAGACATCCATGTGCAAAAGTTCAGCTATTCCATTGGCATATGAGTCTGCTTGACATTTAGCAAGTGCATTATAGTAATTAATGTACAAAGGAAGTTGGCCAATAGTGTTGAATAATGCTGCTTGTGCTGTAAGATAATTTAAAAAGTTGATAATTTCCGATATTAAATATTGGAATTTTTCTCTTACCAACTGAAATATCGACGGCTTCATTTGCTAGGTTCTGTATAGCCAAATAGTATATTTGAACATAATTTCGAGTTTCAGTACAATTTGTGCTGGCAGTTACTAGAAATCGAAAACATTAGTTAATCTCATTAATGCTTGATTAATTCAAACTTACTTGGTGATTGAGCAACTTGAGATATTAAGCCAGGAATTGCATTGCCAGTAATATTAGACACAAACATGTCAAACGAAGTCAGTTCGGTTGTGATACAGTCAAGTGGAGCTGTAAATGGAGCATGGATAGTTCCATTAAGAATTCCGTGAATGTAATCGACACTAGCTCCTGTTGATTGACTTATTTCATCAGACATAAGGTCGAGAGTCACATTGAGGGTGCAGTAGAAGTATGAAATGAAACTGGATCCCATTGTTGGATATTGATGGACAATTCCTAAACGAATGATTTTCAGATATTAAGCTTTAAAAAAAATTTTGATGCAATGCTAGCGTACCTGATGCATAATTCAAATAGTCTTCAACCATGCTTTCAGCGACTTGTAGTAAAGCAACGAAATCAGTGTGGATTTGACCACATGTTGATAAACCTCCACTATATGCACTTCCTGCTACTCCAAATAAGATTAAAATGTTTAAGAACTTCATTCTTGTAACTCTTATTATTTCAGATGTAATTGAATGTCTGATGCTGATTGAGGAGAATTCCTGGATATTTATACTGTGAAATTTTACTACCTCTATTGTCTTTAGTTTACGATGCATTACAAAAGTTGACAAAAATGTGACATTTTAACTAGAGTGAGGATGCGCCAAACCACTGCACTCAAACCTAGATCTACAATTTATATTGGAATCCGAACCACTCATTTGATGACATTTCTGCCAGTAGCCTCCAAAGGAAGGCTGTGAGCCTCATTTCCAATACATATGATTTGAAAAACGACGAGTGAAAAATTTCCCATACCGAGTTTCGAAATCCATGATCGCTGTAACGGTACTGCAATAATTAGGTACAGAAGTACTAAACCAACTAAATCGATGGCTAAACTTAGATCATTTTTGGTAAAAATCTTTGACAAAATAACAATTTTGTTAATCGATTCTCAAGATAACCAATATTCAAAATTATATAAATGCAAATTCCTTCACATCTTGTCCAAAATTTACGATAATTTTCTCAAAATTTTTAAGCAAACAATTGGCCATAAAATCGATAATAATCAGAGACTATAAAAAATTTAAAAAAATAAAGTTTCACGAATTTTGAACTGTTTTGTTTTTGAAAAAAATTTGAAAAAACGGAAAAACCATAAAAATCTGGAAGCATGGATTTTGTAAAATAGTTGAAATCTTGATTAAGCAATACAATAGTTAAATCATAATAAGTTATTATTAATTCATAATTATTATTAATTTCGTTTATCTCATATTTAAAGTTGAGTCTTAACGGATGTGTTTTAATTTTAATTAAAATCCATTTTTCATAATTCACGATGATTTGGCAAGTATATAAATTGAGGGAAAGACAGAAGCAAACTTATGATAACTTCTTGGGAAAAACAATTTGTCCAAAAATGATTTCTTCCCATGACATCAGTCTGAATTCTGAAAATCCCCTGAATCCTTATTCAATTTCAGTTGGGTTTTCTATTTTTTAAAGGATTTTCAAATGCTTGTGACTTGATGCTTCAAAAACCAAAATTATATTCATTTCGATATATTGTCTATAAATATAGATTCATAATTTATTAAATATCAGTCAATTATTTAATTACAAATAAATACAATTAAAATCAATAGATGCTGAAAATGATTAAATGATACATTTTAATAAAAAGCATGCAGGTGTGTAACCATCTGTAAGATTTTACAAAAAGATAGCACGTCTTCGTGACATCAACAATTTTCGTGTTGCTCGTGATGATGAAATAGCAAGCTTGTCATAAATTTTTCAAAAATAAAGTCAGTACTGATATATTAGGTCAGCAAAATTGAACGAGAAATTTTTAAAATACAAAAAATCTGACTTGACAGATCATTTTGTGAAGTTGCAATTTTTTGACAGAAATTACGTGATCTATAAAGATTATTGAGATCATTCGGTTCTGCATAGACTTGAATAGATTTTTAACAATAATATAAAATTGTGTAAATCTGAGTTAAAGCTTTAAAATTATAGGGGTTCATTCGTTTAACCAATGAGGATATCAAGCCTTTATCTATGGCTTTATTTTTACTATAGTTACCAAGAGCATCCAAATTCTTTATATTAAAGTAAAATAAAATTGTTGTCTAACTTCATATCAGTACAAATGAAGTAGAAAATGAGCAAACTTTACTGCTTTGTGTGAATAAAGCTTCTTAGTAAAAAACGAAGTAAAGGAAATTAATGGCAGTTTTTATTCAATTATAAATTGAGATAGTGATGTTGATGATGTTTCAGAAGCATTATGCGATGCAATTTGAAGGTGTATAAAAGGAAGCGATGATGAACAAAGATGAGCTGCTGAATGAGTTCATTAAAAAACAGAAATCTAATTTTCTTTAACATTGTTTTCTATAAATATGCATGAAATAAAAAATGAACGCTGTTGATGCAAGAATTTTTCATTTTGAAAAAACGTTAAGGTTGAGAAGAATCTCATTTTATTAGACAATTTCCATTCATTCTACTCAATTTTATTAGACGAGAAAAACTTATGACGAGAATAACAAAGTGAGGAGAAGTAGAATGCATTTATATGTAAATTGACTTGAGCATAAAGTTTTTCTTCTTATCATCCACATCGACGTACTGATAATCAAGGGATGTGAAGGTTTCGAGTCATTTCATGAGCCAGTTTTTAAAAAACTAGCTTTAGGACTTAGTCCAAAGCAGTTTTGTGAGAGCAAAGCTTAATTTGTACTTTTTGACGATTTAACTTCGATCCGTAAGTCTACTTCGTGCAAGCTTAGTGTCAATTTGGTGCGAATTTAATGAAGCTCTAGCCTGTGCTGCATATGGGAAGCTCACCATGATTATAATGAGTCATTTGAATTTTCCCTTAAAAAATCAAACCTTAAATCACAAAGATTCAAATGTCACGTCCCTTGAATCTATAAATTTACTACACAAACCCTCAATGGTCCTTTTTGCTGCCATGCTGCTCAATTTTATTGCTATCACCTTTCTCTGATTGCTTGCTACTCGAAGTAGAAAATCTTTTTGTGCTCTGTTGAATGAAAATTCATGAAAATAATAATGGAACTCTATGAAAAAGAAGGAAAAGTTGTAAATATTTATGATGAATGCAAGATGTCAATTGGTGATGGGACATTTTTATGAGATTTTTTGATGAGCTTTCTGACAATGAGGATAGTAATAAAATTTTTTGGATAATTTAAATGAAAATTTTACTGCTGCTATTGTGTTTTTAGTGTCTTTGTCATGATTTAAGTATTTATTACAGCTTTAGTAGCAACTCTAGTGTCTCTGAATAACAAAATTGCTGCAACTTAGTTATTCATAACCAGGAAAGACACGATCAAAATTTTGAATAAAACTGAATCCTTGAAATAAATTAATATTCAATTATTGATCATCACACCCAAAAATATATTCAATTACGATCGTGCATCTTTCAATTCCAACTTGTTCAATCAAGGACATTGTCTCTTATTGATCTAATATTGACAGATACTTTAATTAAAATTAATACTCTTCATTATAAAACGTCAATGCTACACTCCAATTCACGATGCTCTACTTCTTTTGGTATCATTTGTTTCTGACTTCAAATGGAAAACAATGTTAACGTAAAAGTTATGCTGAACGTGCTGTAATTTAAAACTTATTAGTCATGTCTATTCTAAGAAATGAGAGTGACGACAGAGTTGGTAGCTTAGCTTGAAGTATACTTAATACAACATTAGAATTGACTCGCTACATCCAGCTTGACTTTGCACCTTATTTGATTTTAAAGCTTCTGATTTGATATTAATCAATTTTATTTGATAAATTTAGGGATTTAAGGAAGTCATTTATGAAGCCAGGCATAATAATAATAATGTGTGAAGGGGCCTTTCAGCTGGAGGCACTGCGATTCAAATTAGAACAGAATCTATTGTACCACATCCTTTAGACCTACAGTTTATAGTGGGATCCGAACCACTTGCAAGTTCTGCACATTGCAAAGACACGAGTACGTCATAAGACCTGATGTACCCTGCAATGTACCTAGTCACAATTCGTGTGCGCAAGATGCCGTAAGGAAGTCATCCAGATGCTAGTATATCCTTTGTATACCTGGGATTGATGGCCTGGGATTGAACCCAGGAGCTTTGGCACAGAAGGCCAACGCTCTACCATTTAGGCAATTTCACCGCTAGCCAGTCATAAGAGTTGTTTGTAAATTTTGTGCATGACTGAAACCTTGTGTCAGTTTAATTGTTAGTAAATTTTGCTTCCTAAATTGGAAGAAGGGTTTTAAAAATTTAGACATTAGGTGACATCATTTGTGAATCACTGAGCTGGCGACATTAGCTAGCAATCACGTTAGATTTAAAAGTTTCGCAAACGCCCTACACTTCACAGTGAAGTAAAAGGATAATAGCATGGAAATCATTTGAGAATTGAAATCCTTTGATCGAAAAATAAAAGCTTGAAAATTTTATGTTTAAGTGACTTAAGATAACCACCACTTTCACCAGATGAGTTCAGCTTCAAACTCTGAACTCACAAAATATCATTGAATATTCGACAATCATAGCTTTGCCTTTATTTCATCTTCTTCAATTCAAAACCAATTTAGATTGACTTTTTTTGTTTCTTCACCTTTTCACGACTCACTTTTTATGATGAAATAGGCTTGTAATATTTTTTATTAAAGCATTTCCTGTTTATTCACAGAAAAGATCATCGTGTGATGTTGAAATAGCTGCTGGCTATTGATGATTCATTGATGCTCTTTTGAGATTTAATTATGCACTTTATTGTGGGTTTAGTCAAGGATTAGCTGTGGAATAAATTGCAGGTTTTTGAATTTGGACTAAAAGACTTAAAACTGGAATTTTTATAATAAATTAAGCGTGTTCATTTAAAAAATATCACATCTAGGAATTATCCAGTAAAATACATCAAAAATCTTCACTTTCATCATCACATTCATGTCCAAAACAAGACATGAAAAATTCTATGTAAACATAATCAATTTTCTACTCAGTCACGATTTTATCATAATAGTAATAGCCACAACAAAAACGAGTTCATCCTTCCATCAACAATTCAATAAGTCACCGATTATCTCTCGCTTTGATGTAATAATTTTGAGTAATGAGCTTTCATCGCCAATCATTTCAATAAGAAAGATTTAATGAAGCAACACAAAAAAAAAATTTCAATTTCGATTGTTTTCAGCTGATTTGAGTTGACTATTATCGAAATAAAATGATGAGATTGAATATTTCTTTTGGAGGAGGTGCGCATTAACAATTTTTTATGTCCGATTTTGGGGGGCTTATGATGTGCTATGTCTTTATTTGATGTTACGAGACCCACAGCGGTTCTTTTATTGTTATTGAGAAAAATTTCTTTTATTCTTTTTATTTTCACTTCATTTAAAAATATTTTGATGATTATTAGCGGTGTTTATGGGCAATTTACAGCTATTGCATGAATGCAATTTTACTAGAGATGTTTTTATGAAAAC